AAGAAAGAAAGAAGAAGGGAAGGAAGGAAGGAAGGAAGGAAGGAAGGAAGGAAGGAAGGAAGGAAGGAAGGACAGACAGAAAGAAAGAAAGAAAGACTCTCTCCCCTTGCTGAGACAGAGCAGGCCTGAGTCTCCATCCAACAAAGTGATCAGGAGGGCAAATAACTGGTCCCTGAGGTCTAAACAATGACATTTGCTAAGTTAGGTGTATTCAGTGCATTCTGGACATAGGGTATTTTCAATTCATGATGGATTTATGAAGCTAACCTCACTGTAAGATGAAGGGCATCTATAATCTAAGAAAGCTCTCTTCGGCTCCTCCAATCCCTTCTCCATCTTACAGTGTAAGTGATCTTTTAAAATTATAAATGCAGATATATTGCTTCCCTACTTAAAATTTTCATGGTTACCCACTGCCCAGAATAAAGCCCCCAGATTTTCTCCAGCTCTCAAAGGTATTGCATCAGCAACTCTGCTGCCCTTCCCAGCCCCAAGCATCCTCCTGCCTCTTCCTTCGGCTCTGCTCTCAGAGGCCGGCAGCCTTCAATTTGCCAGGCCCCTTTTTCCCTCAGGATACTCCCATACGCTGTTCCTGACACCTCCAACCCCTGGGATAATCCCCTTTCATTTTTCATAGTTCTGCTCAATTATCTTCCCTTCCAAGAAGCATTTCTTGATCCCCAAGCTATGAGATGCGATTGGAAAATATGGGGAACATTTATACTTTAAAATGCTAATTATAATAAAAGGCATATTGCCATTAACTCCCCTCAAAAGACTCCCCCCTCACTTAAGAACACACTTTTCCCATCTTGCTCACCACTTTCTGAAGCAATTCACGAAGTCCTATTTCATGAGTGCCTTTAGATGCACTGTCAATATCTGCCTTGATGTCCTGAATCGATTCAAGTGTTTACCTTTCATAGTCATCTTGACTTTAGGGAAGAGCCAGAAGTCACAAGGTGCAGTATCCATTCACACGAGACATAGCATAATGTTTTTACAAGCCTGACTTTCTGTCGGATGGCACTTGGCAGGAGGATTCACTGTATTTTTGTTCACATCTTGTAAACATACGAAGAGGGCTTCCGGAAGTGCGTCAGAAAATGGCAAGAATGGTAGGAAGGAGACTATTTCGAGGAGGGGTAATGACAGTGTGTCTCTTACTATAATACACTCTTAAACATTCACCATATATACTGATCACCCCTTGCATGTCTTTTTCAAACACGAGTTTAAGAGTCTTGGCTAAATATATACATTCCTTTTTGTTTAAACAACGATATTTTGGCACAAATGCTCGCGATCAGAGAAATGATCCGAGAACCATTTTTAAGGATTATTTTACAGCATTCATGATGAGATGGAATTCAGAAGTTTTTTTAGCGAAGTCTCCAAGGCCGCCAATGAAAAAAGGCCATCACCAAGGAGAAATCCAGCTACACGAGTGATGTACATGGATGGCGTCCGGAAACGCACCGTGCTGTCACTTTGGTGTCTCTGCGCTCGCGTTCTCTGCCTCGATAGCCCTTCCTGTGCCCCAACCTCTGCCTGAAGAACTCCGCCTGGCTCCG